CACAACTGTAAGTGCCTTCTGGGGAACGGATAAGACAATTTCCCATGGCGTACCGTGCTGCACGGAACTTTGATCAGCTTCAAACAGCTGCAAGGTGTGCCTTTTACATGTCGAGGCTACCTCAAGTGACAATGAGATCTTGCGCATGTCATCAAATTCTTACATGTTGGCAATGTTGGCCCACATTGCATTCCGCACACAAACAGCTTGATGTCTATAGGTCCTGCTTGCTCACGAAGATCTAAAGCACCAACCAATCAAAAACACATCTTTTCTGCGAAAAAAGCTAAGCGATTTCCACAGCTCACCATTGAGACCTAAGCAACTCCAAGGCCTTCGAAATCTCAACTGCGCCCACGGGCACTGTTTCCCATGCCGTTAGACCGGAATCGCACTGAGACTTGCGCACTCCCTGCTGTGTTCACCTAAGGCTTGCACTTGCTTTTCCCTTTGCTCTTTCCTCCTCCCCCTCCTGTCTTGCCTTTGCTCTTGCCTGCGGTGCAACGCGGCGCACACCGGATCTCGTCTTTGGCAGGAGCGCATGCCGCCGCTCCAACCTGCCTCCGCCTCCGCCTTTGCCTTTGCTACCCTTTGACCTGAGCCCAATGGAGAATCAACTGGGAGCTTTCTTGAAATTGTAGTGTCATGTAGTGTCTGTACGTATAAAATCTAATCCTTCACCCATCAAGCTTGTTTGCTTGTTCACTTGTTATATAATATTAGATCTATTTATATATATATATAAGTATAAGTGTTATATATATATAGTCTGTCTCCAAACACTCTGAGAGCTCTACCAAGCAGCTTGTGACCGGATGTTATTTCCACCTGCGAAGCATCTGTGGTTTGTTGCAACAGTCATTAGCAATGCGGTTTGCAGTGGCCAAAAATGGAAAATCAAAATGCGCACCTCCTGCGAGCTCAATGGCAACCACATTAAGTAGCTCAGCCAAATTGCCAAATCATGTTTGAGATTGGGAACTATGAGAAGAATTCTGAAAACTTCAGAAAACCCATCTGCCCAGTATTGCGCTGCTATATGGACTGACCACCTTGTTTCCTGCCTCGGCTTCAACCACAAAAGCGACATGTCACTCTCAATCTAACTGAATGGAATCAAGCAGTTCTCCAAATTCACCTGCTTTTCCACGACGCGAACTCTGGCCTCGAGAATCTCGGCCACCCCAACCTGGCAAGCTGCGGGTGCCAATGCTGCATCAAATTACACTTTAGATCATTCGTGTGTGTTTTTCGTTTTCATGCAAGGTCAAACTTATTAAACTTCAAAGACTTGGATGCTTTGGCACAAGTGTTCCGCGTCAGCTGCACATATTTTGTAACCGTGAGTCAAGAGCATCTGATCATTCCGCCATGGTGGCTAATTATCTCCATCGGCGGACTTGGTGATGTCCGTGGTGACCAGTGTCCACGTTCAGCATTGTCACTTCGACGCTTCGGGATCAGTCGTCGAGTGTGTTTGGACATGAGTTTGTCCAACTCTTGTCTTCTCGAGGCCATATGGTCCATCATCATAGAGGTGGAGGCAGCATTAAATCTCCAGCCCAGAACAGATTCTCACTGGCTCTGCTTTGCCTCCTACACTTTGGCTTTGGCAGGCATCATCGTCAAGAAAGCTCTCTTCGGAGAAAGGTGATGTTCAGCAGCATCGCAGACTTGCATGCCGAAACCATCCCAGTGTCCAGTGTTGCACCGTTCACATCAACGATCACGTCATTCACCTGTTTTGGGCCACGAAATGGACGCGCTCCTTTTGCGCTGCGAGGACTCCTGGTTTTCCACACCCCTGCGTCTTGCTTGCACAACAGCTAGGTCCGCCGGGGGTTCGGATCGTGACCGTTGGATTTCGGAGACGTTGTCAGTTGTAGCCCATTAAGCCTGACTGAGTTTCTGATGATTGGTGGACGTTGTGTCAGTCAGGCCTCAACCTGACTGGGGAGTCAAAAACAAGAGCTTTGCAAGAATGAGAAGTACTCTTTGCTAATTCTTAGCAACTCCCCTAACTACTTTGCTTTTGAAGAATTAGAAGGATATAGACCAAAAAAAAGGGATAAGCAAGTTAAGCAAGTGAACAAAAACGGAACAAAAAAACCCAACAAAAGATCTGCGAGCCATAACACTGGTGGAAGCATTGGTGTGATCAGTATCAAGTCTGCACGAACTATCGTTTTATCCGCACGACATTGTCGTGGTCATCTTTCTGGAATCGAGTTTTCACGATGCGTCATTTCACCCAGAAGCCTATAATGAGTGCACAAGTATACAAGAACAGCCGTGACATCTTCGTGGTCGTGACATAATGCAAATTGCCTTCCCCACCCTGCCCCCCACGCCCCCGAGAAAGTATGTAGCCATTCATGAGTGTGATACCTGCATCGAACATGCATAAAGACCAATTCAAAACCTATTGTATTGGACATTTGACATGCTTCAAAAAGCGTTTAGAGCGCACTCGCAGTCTCCTCAGTGGCCCTGAAGGAAACTGCAAAACTACTGTATACAAATAGCACGTGAAATCTCTAAAAAAGGCACAAAACACCACAACCGTCTGCGCACCGTGGTTCAACTACTAGAAAGGTGTGTATAACACATGTATAAATTATAAATGTTTCTTCAAGACGTCCTAACTTCTAGAGCAAATGTAATCAGCACCTACAGGCAGCCGCAGAAGTCACGGCATAGTAGGAAAAGATAGGAAAAGCGTAGTTCCAATCTATTTAAAGAATCATGGCTCCGGCTCCAAACGGTTCCAGTCACCGTGTCGATGTCCGAACGAAATGCCTTGATGCTTGGAAGCCCTTGCTGCTCCGCCAGCGCATTGCTTCGATCCACAGCACCATCTCGACGGATCGCCAGCACCACGAGACGGCCCAGCCGATGCTTCACATCCATGCCCAATTGGTCATGGAAATCGGTTTTCTGGACGCAAATCTGATACTTCCTTAGTTCTGATACTGGCTCACAAAGGTCACAGGCATGCACAATATAGGAATGTATGTTGGGCCTATCCTACTACCAGTAACAGTGGATGATGATGGTTAGTAAAGGCCTTGTTCAAAAATAGTGATATTAAAAAAAGGAAAACCGACTGTTGCAGTAATGGGACAAACCCAGCTACTATATAATATATAATATATCATAATGAAATATACCTCATCAGTAGAATCAGATCCTTCCGTATACTTAGGGACCAAAATAACATAAAAATAACTGATGCAAACGTTGGAAGTAGATCAGCTTCTTCTGACTGGTCTCCAGAAAGCCATGCTCATTAAAAGGATCTTTCACCGTAGAAGTGGGAACCTCAAGGCCATCCGTCTTGGAAGTGCAACAGCATCCAGAGGCAGCGCCCATGGCGCATATTTCCACGCCTTGAGCACCTTGAGATGCCCGACATGCATTACAACCGACAATCAAATGGCTTGGGGACTTCCAAACGCCAGGATCTGGGGCAGGTGATTGTCATAGACTCAGACCTTTTGAAGACCGCGATACAACCTTATGGAGGATTCTCACTAACATTATACAGTATGCGGCCAGTGCTTGCAACTTGCCACACGTCGCACCTCCTCTCAGAACTCAAAAAAAAACGCCACCAATCTCTGGACGCGAGCAGGGATTCGAAGTCGTGAATGGGTGAAGCAACCAATATGCCAGCATGACCTCCCCCCTCCCTTCCCAGGCTTCCGCTCTTGCTTGTAGCCCTCAGGAAGCAGGTGCCAACACAAAGTCATCAGAGACTTGACAAAAAGATACAAGAAGGATTTCCCGCCCACCAGTCAAAGCAAATATTAACCCTCAGATCTCAGATACTCTGATCCGACGAAGCCATATCAAAATATCCGGAAAATGATGAGTCATAGCTGGCTTTGAAACAGATTAAGCTCTGAGAGAACATACACAGCGCAGGCCTGTCGGAAGGCTTCGTCCTTCAGATCCTGGGGTGCTTGAGGCTACGCCGGCTACACTAGACCGCCCTCCCAGCATCCTCCGAGTCTCGCTAAAGGTCTCGTCATGGGTATCACATGTGGCAGCACCGACATTGGTCATGATCGATGACCTTACGAAACGACCTGATTCAATCTGAATGCACGTTTAAAGATTGCGACCCTATGTGTACACTAAGCCTCTCATCTGCATTCACATCTCTTCACATCTCTTAGGTAGAAAGCTAGAAAGCAGGTCGAAAACTGGCTGTACGCATGGTCTTTCCATCTCTTTCCACGCCACATCCCGGACACCGTCCTGGGGCACCGGTTGACCAGCACCCTCCAAGATGCCGACCAAATCTGCGCGACTGGGCGGTTGCCAACTTTGGGACACCAAATCGACGAACATGGACCCCAAAGCCCCAAGATGTTGCTGAAAATCGGAGCATCATGATGTTCTTGAACGGATTCTTGTATGTTCTTGAAGAATGCGACAAATGTCGGTGGCGATTGCCTGGATGAAGGGGCACATGTTTGTCCAATTCACATTGGGCACAAGTTGTTCTCTCGCCTTTGACCACATTGGCGTTGGAGTGCTGTGCATCAGAGCCAGGGACCTTGAAACGCACGACCGGAGTGTTGTGAAACCACGCTGCACGACCGGTGTTTTGCACGATGAATCAAAACACCTCTCTTATCCTCTCTTACCCGGACTGGACCAAGCTTGTCAGCCTTGCAGCACCGCGGTTTTCACATATGTCCAGTGACGCACCCACATATGTACTACATTGTACTACATTGTACTATATACATTGTACTACTACTACTACTACTACTACTACTACTACTACTACTACTACTA